ACTCAACACGGTGGATGCTTGATGGAACTCCGGCCTCGCCCCGAGTTGCACCCGAGTCGGTGTTTGAACCACATTTCCTCGGCATGTGGAGAAGCTTGCTCGAAGGAGTCTTTCAAGCCGAGCACTGCCACGCCCACAGCTACGCCAGCTACGCTTCCACTTGTTGGCCGACTCATGCAAGGCCGCGTGCTGCATGATGTTTGCTCCGCCTGTGAGATGCGCAAGAGGCATCCTGGCAAAAAAGAAGGCCGAAGAGGACCTACCTGTCAAGTTTGGGGGCGGGTTGGTCCACGATCGCTTTGAGACAGCCTGGAGCAGGCTCGGAAAGCAGCGGCTGACCACCTGTCGTGTCTCGGCACAGCAGTTTGCTTGACGGATCTTGATCGAACGGGCGGGCTATAATTATAAGACGCCAGAGTATGATGTGTAAGCAGGTAGGTATGGCTAGAGGCACAGGCGCAGACACGCAGAGCCTTCTTGTTGCTGAAGGCTCAAGCGGTGTCAGTCTGATGTATCAGTCTGACGAAAAGTGAGGATAGCGGCCGCGGCCTGCCATGGAAAGGAAGGCCCTTGAGATCCTCAAGGAGGGACTTGAGTCAGAAGGTGGCGCTGCCTTGATTCCTTCTTTCTCTGTGAAAGTGAAGTGGGGCCAGCATGACCTTCAAGGCCTGGGCAACATACGGAAGTTTCTCGCGAAATATCCGGAGCTCTTCAGTCTGGAAGGATCAACTGTCACCCTGAGTCAGAGCTTGCTGCCCAAGGACGAGGCACCTAAGACCACCAGCAAATCTGCGCCAAAGGCCCCACCTTCATCTTTAGGAACCAGGAGGAGGCTTGCCGAGGATATCGAGGAAGGACAAGGCAGCAAGATGCCTCGACATGCCGGGGCTCCCACATCGAAGGCCTGGGCCATCGAGGTTCCGAACGAAGCCAACGGTACCGGCTTGGGAAGGGCTAAGCCAGACAGCACGGCACCGAAACCTGCCAAAGGCATGGCACCGAAGCCAAAGCACACATCTGCTACATCTGCTGCCCCTGTCATATCTGCATCTGCGGCTCTAAGCTGCTCTGCCGGCTCAGACGCGCAAGGCGTGGAGCCTGCACCGTGGCATAGCCGTCGGCGGATACAAGCCGGTTCGATGGGTGCCGGCACCCTCAAGGATCGGACGCACGTGCCTAATGCACTGTCGCGTTTCTGCATTGTGCAACCAATTAGCATGCCCTCTGCTCCACTTGGGCTGTAGTGACATGTGATCTGTGTTATGTTGGTGGGCATTCAATGCAATAGCGAGAAGACCGGTAGGTGTCGTGACTTCGCGTCCGTCAGAATCTGCTTTAGGCCAAAGAAGAAGGAATTTTTGTTGTCCAGACGTCGGCATGTCGGGCCTCTCGTGCGAACCGTTGGAGTTCCCCTACTTATCCTCGCAACATAACAAACCATGATGAAGCTGCGAATCTGTTTGGTTGCAGAACTTCACTTTGAGTCTAGATGTAGATCCCTAGGGCCCCAGGCTTGTACTGTTGTTTCTCTCGAATCTCGAAGAAAGGCTTGTCTTGAAATTTTAACGGATTTCCTTGTGGAGGTCCTTGTGCCAACTATCCGACTGCTCTCTACAGAACGTTGTGAGCACCACGGTCGTCTGTGCATCTGTGTCCGCCGCACAAAATCACGGGTGATGCCCCCCTGAACAGATTTTGGAAGTTGTGTTTGGGGTGGAGACCGTTTTGAGTGTTTGTCAGCTACACTCAGCGCACACAGTGCAATTACCGCGATTTTTGAGGTGAACACCTGGGCCGCTTGCAGTCTTGAGCAGGTATCTCCCTCTTCCGTGTTTCACCGTTCGCAGAAATGCGGCAGGAGGCACCATTCACGATCTTGCGGCCAGTGCGGGTGGGTGATTGAAGCAGTTATTGGCATTGGTTTGCGAAATCTTGCCCGAAGTCACGATCACAATAGGCCAGACAGGGTTTTCAGCAGTCAAAGAAACTGATTCCACAACCCGTCGCGGCGCTTCCTCATGTGCTGGATTGTACACCTGGGTGCACAAGAAACCGGCAGCGACCAGTGATACCAAGCAAGGGCCCTGGGTGGGAGCATCATCAGTCGTGGCAGCCCTGGTGTAGGGCAACAGCCAGCAGAACGAACTCTTGAGAAATTGTTCATCCATACCTGCATACCCTGGGATGAGGAAAGAAAGTAATCTAGATGGTTTGGTGCGAGTCGTAGCGAACGATTCAGCACTCCTGCCCTGTTGCACCCCAAGTCACGCAGAGGGAACTAACTAACATGCATAGGTTGGTTGATGTCTGCTTCGAGACATCTGTGCATTCTGTGAAGGAGACGACTTGGGAGGAGGACAGCCTGAGTGATCAGGAACTCATGCACACAATTACTTCCAGCAAAGCCCGTGGAATGGAACTGGAGCTGGCAGAGCTACTGAAGAAGCTGCAGCCGACGGATGAGTACAGAAGGGAATGTCAACGTGCTCTGCTCTTGCTGAGGTCTGCATTTGCTCAAGAGTTCCCAGCAACACTGACGACTAAGGGCCCGAAGCTGGCGATTATTGGTTCCTGTGCTCAAAACACGGAGCTCAACGGTTCTGATGTGGATATAGCCTGCAGGCTTCCAGATTCGAGTGCAGATGAGCTGGATACAAAGCTGGCAAAGCTTTGGGCGCGCCTTTTTTCAGCACCTCATTCCACACACCTGCTGGCCTTAGATGCTACCCGTTTGTTCCCACACGCACCCTGCCAATGTTCGATCCACCTGAAAGCCTCGGCGCAGAGTCCGGCACCACGATTTCATGCTCATCTTCTTCTCGTCGGTGAGAGTCAAGAGTCGCTCGACTCGATGCTTCGTAGTCTTTGTGATTGCTGCAGCAAGGCCAGGGACTTGATTCGGCTTGTGAAGCTCTGGGCTCGAAGCCATGGCTTGATGAACCACCGTGAAGGTTATATGAATGGGGTCGCATGGACGGCTTTTGTTTTGTGCTTCTTGCAGAGGGAGCAGTACATCCCGCCGCTGCAGACAGTTCTCGAGGAGAAGAAGCGATCGGAGATACCTACTGCGAGCTTGCGGGAGTTGCTGCTCAGATTTTTCCAGTACATCTGTGCTCCGCAAGCCAAAACCCCAAGAGGCCTTTCTCTGATCGAGGGAAAGGATTGTGAGGCAGCTGTGCCTCCTCCTTCTCATAAAGGGCCTCCGCCACCCTTGTACATACAGGATCCAGTGCAGTTCCGGCAGGGATCCGACCAAAACATCGCAGCCACGCTTACGGAAGCACCATGGGCGCGTATCCTTGATGAATCCAGGCGAGTTGCTGAGAGGCTTGACCCTTCCAAGCCCCAGCGCTGGTTCTATTGGGCTGAAATCTTCGATCCGCAAGGGCTGGCAGCAGCCTCAGGAGGTAGTAAGCGACTGCCGAAGCTTGGCGACGTGAAAGTCCCTTCTGACGACCAGCCTGTCTTGCTTGATGGTGCATCATCCAGTGCAGTTCCCGCCACGAGCACAGCGGATGCAACTGGCAGAGGACGTACAGAAGCGAGTCGCAGCGAGAACTCGTACGGAGCTCCCGCAGAAGCTCCACAGGCAAGCCTGCTTGAAAGCAAGATGGGTAAAGAGAGCTGGCCCGGCAAAAGCGGATGGCCGTGGTTGTCTGGCAAAGGACCAGCCGCGCAACACGTGTCGCATGCATATTAGCAAAAAAAGGCTTGCACGCATACCAGGTGACTGCAGGTGAGCACGTGCTTCTTCAATGCCCAGCACCGCGGCCGAGGTCCACAAGTGGTGTGCTAGGTTGGCCAGAAGCAGATGACTACGCGAGCAAGCCTTGTGCGGCACTTAAGTCAGACTTTCATGTTTTAAGTCTTTAAGTGGTACTATTGGCTAGTTCGAACACGCCACTCGAACCACATGACCACTTGAATTTAACATAATGCCACGTCTGTTCAAGCGGCATGAGCATCTTTCCCCATTTCAGAGCGTATATCGCCAGGACTGTTCAGGGGTGGGCGCCACTTGTGCCACTCGTGCCAGGGTGTGGGGGTATTTCGGGTTTAAGGGTTTAGGGTTTGGGGCTTTAGGGTTTGTTTAGGGTTCCAGGGTTTAGGGCTTGGGGGTTTCGGGTGTTGATGTATTGTTACTAGTAGTACTGCTACTAGCACTACTGAAGGCTGGACGGAGTGTAGATGGCACAATCTGCTCAAGCGGGGGGAGGTTCAAGCGGCACAAGTGGCCGAGTGGCAGAAATCAGTTAGGGGTTCCCGTTTCCCCATGCACAGTACTATTGAGTTTCTGTTGCTTCGCAACCTGCATCGCAGGTGGCAGTCTTGCTCCTGCTGTGGCTGCAAGCCGCAGGCAAGCCCGAGTGACGTTTTGGACTTGCGTTGTAAGTAGTTGCAGTGCACCGCAAATGCACAGCAATGCCCCCGCAGTGCACCGCAGCATAGCCATCCATGCTACAGGAGTCGTCCCGAGATTCCTGCGATTCCAGGAGCCATCCACCGCCTCCACCGTCCTCGCCGACACCGGCCCGGGCCAAGGCATCGGCACTGCTGCAAGTGCTTCCCCCTTGGCCGGGCGCATAGAGGAGACAAGCACGCAGCTTCGGTGTGAAGCTTCTATCGCATTCCTGGTCTCAGGCCGGTCAGGACATCTTCTACGATGGATACCTCCCTGAGCACTGCCGTTGCTGCTTTAGAGCGGCAGGCAACATCATGCGATCGGTTGATTGTGATTTGCTTTACACTTATCTACACGTCGAGCTGGCATTGTGGCAGAGGAGTACGACTTTGCCTCTGCCGCATTCAAAAGCTGCATTCTGCAGTGGAGGGAGTCAGGCCTGGTGCATTTACGAGCAGCAGACTTGCGGTCTGCTGCTGTAGGGGAAGTTTAGCAGGCTTCGGCATAGCCAGTGAAATGGTGAAGCAGTGAAGCATGACATGCCATGAACGTCTGCTTGCAAGTGCTTCCTGGCCGTTCGGGCAGTCTGAATTGCGGTATGTGCGTCGAAGGCATATCGGTTTCGGCGGCAGCGGTTCGTCCACGTGTTCAGGCTGAGAGGGCTTTGACAGATTCGGCCATACGATTCGTTACTGAGAAGATACGAATCGACTGATGCTAAGACCACGAACAGCACCATCGAGCTCACGACTGTTGAACATGGGTGCCAACACACCAATCACTTGTAGGCAGCTGTGAACTACACGAAGCTGTGCCAGCTGCTCCAAAAAATCCAGGCACTCCATGCTCTTGCAGCGGTTCTTGCGTAAACGTTGATATAGTTGTCAGGAGCAGAAGGAGGGTCTGGCGAAGGTGATCCCACGTCGAGTTTTGCTGGAGTAGTACCGTAGCTTGTACAGTGTGCTTCTCACAACCTGGACAGGCATACGGCGGTTCGTTGGCGGTCAAGCGGGAGATATGCCAGAGCTGGGAATGCGCACTTCGACTTCCCAAGGCGCCTGGGCGTGTCGTTCCTTCAACTTTTCAGCTGCCTGGTGACACGTGGGATAGTCGGCTAGTTGGGCATTGTCCGATGCTGCCAGCACGAGGAGCAGGGTCTCAACTAATTTATTATGTTCTCTTTTGCGGTTTTCGCCGTTGGCAACAAAACTGCCGTGTGAATCGTGTTGGAGACACGAGGCTTCTCGCTAACTTGAGCTCTTGGCCTCAGGCAAGCCTGAAATTTGAGACATGCTTGGACTCATCAAAGACATCGTGACTTAAAGGAAGAAAAAGTTTGGGTCGAAGACGGCAACCCTAGCGCGTCGCCCGGTCTGCCCACCATCAGAGTTTTCGGTCTGTGGGAGCTGGCACAGATGTCGTTCGTTAAATGCACGCGGGGGCAGGCGCGCTTGAATTCGAGCAGGGGAACGCTTCTACCTCAAACCCCGGCCAAAGGCGCATAGTCTCCTTCATGCCGGATGAGGGATGCAAGCAGCTGGGACAATCGCTCGGCTGTACACTTATGCGTGACAGTAGCTTGTGTTGCAATTTGCGAGTTTTACGTACAAGTAGGCATCTTACCTTGAGTGACTTGCCATTCGTGCAACAACGAGTACTGCAGAACTTGCAGGGCTTTGAGGTGCTACTTGATGGATTCGGATTCTGCCGGTAGTGACGCAGCAAGAGAGCTCAATACGGCCTAGGTTTTCTGCGTCTCGCACCCCCTCTCGCATCCGCTAACTTTCACAGCCACCCTTCTGGCGTGTTTTTGTTGCCAATGTTTGCACAACCGAGCTTGTCGACCTGAGGCCGCCAGCTACATACTTTGTCGATCCCACTTCTCAGGGTAATGTTCAATCTCGTTGGTGCATGTCGCTTCTGGCACTAGAAGTAGCCGCATCGATCGGATTGCATTTTGCAAGCTCGGTGACGTGTTCCATCTTTGTGTTGCATCTTCTCCAAACCACTTGACGAAATCTTAAAGCCGAAAAGTAGGCGAATCGCAAGGAACGTTGATGAACGAATTTGAAGGATCACACCAACTTGCACGAAATCCCCGCAAGACGTATTGCATGACGTGAAAAGCTGGTATGTGAATTGCTTCGTAAGGGAGGAATGAGTCCCCGCAGCCCAAGGTCACCTCACTTTGCACATGCGCAAAGAAGGTCCGACTGAAAGTGTGAGTGATGTTGATGACTTATAGGTCAGGTGGTGATTGGTGGCTGGACTGACGCACGCAAGACAGATGCCGTTGAAGAAGTGAAGCATATGCTCAGCATAGCAACTGCCTGTCCTCAGAAGTGTCCAACATAGCAAGTGACGACGCGTGCACAGCCAGTCTGCGGCCAAACGTCATGGCTCCAGTATATGCAAAGCCCAGGCCATAACCGGTCGCGACCAGCTGCTGTGCAAAGGTAATTCCGCAGAAACTGTGCGACAAGCGCAATCAGGACAGGAGTCAGGCAGCAGGCGGGTGTCAAGGCGCAACGACTGCGACGGCTTGCTGCGACAGCTGCACTCGTCGAAGGCTCAAAGCCCAGCATGTGCTGATGGTTCATTTGCAGTGGAAAGCGATGCTGGGTGCATAATCGTGTTTCCCAAACGGTTTGGCACCGGGCACTTCACGTGGTGATCCGCACTTCGTGACATATCCGTTTGAGGACTTCCTTGCAATGGAAAAATTTGTGAATATGTGCCAATTCCTGATGTTTGGTTCCTACTTTGTTGGAAGAAAAACTGACGGCATGTGGATGGTGAGTGGATGTGCTGGCATTTTGCCGTGTCAATAAAAAAATGCCGGAGGCTGACTTGTAGCCTCGAGATGCGGAACCATGAAACTGTCCGATTGAATTTACTGGCATCTGCCGCCTATAGCCCTGGTTCGTGACTCGCTCAGCCATGCAGGAGGCAAAACCTATCAAGATAGTTGTGTATTTACCCACCTAGCTACTACTTTTACTACTGAGGTTACGAGGCAGTAGAAACTATTACTGACTACTAGTAATTCGTGCTAACAATTTGCTACTGACTACTACAACTGCTACAGCAGCAACAACAACAACTACT